GCTCGAAAGCGTCATTAATCATCCACGCGGAGCTTCGTCTGTAAAATTAATTCCTCCTTCCCCGACTATATTAAGCAAAGTGGAAAAATCAAAAATTAAAATCAGTCGTTTTCACGGAACTGTCTGTTTATAAATTTACGCGAAGATGTAATTTGTCCCTATTCGTGTTCCTCCTGACGACGAGCACTTTGCCATTTTTGTTCACGGCATAATTGAAATTCAATTATTAAATTTCCCAAATTTGCGCCACCACCTGGAAATAGAAAAATGTTCGGTAAAAGTTAGTTCGGTGACCGATCAGAAATTGGTTAGTTTTACTAGTCCAACAAGCGTTTATCAAACTTAGCGATTTCTAGTTAGTATTACTGGCCAAATATTGGCCAGTAACCAGGAAAACTTGGGTAGATTAGATAGAAGATAAAATGTAAATTTAACCGGGCAACTCGCTTGGAAACTGTAGAACGTCTATATGACGTGGAATTAAATGATACCGTGAATTCTCGATGTTGCAGTACGTTACGTGCTTTTTATGATTCTCTTTATCAAATTCCGTTCTCTTCTTTCTCAACTCGTATTCGTCATTTTTCATGTAATTACGTCGGGGTTTAAAGTCTGCTTCCACGTTCTGTCTTGACAGGTTTTGCGAGACATTCGCGCGCTAGACACACGGAAAACTCTTCTGTGTGAGTATTTTAATAAGGGTATTAGCGATAAATTTAACACAAAACGTAGTTAAGATCTTAATCTTCAGCTCGTTTAAGTAAACTCATTACGCGGTCCCTACTTCGGAGGAAGTAGCAGCATCGTTAGCATAAGCGATGACCTCTTCTCTCTGTCTTCCTCCCTCTCTCTCTCTCTCTCTCTCTCGGCTGCATGGCGAGCTACATGTTAATAAGAAGCTTGCTCTGCAAAACAAAGGGAATAAACTAGCTGCTGCCGAGAAGAACTTACCTTTTGTTTCCTTATTAAACGCTCCCGCCGACACGTTTGATTAATTTTCCGGATTAACGTAATTAATGTTCCCTTTTAAAGTTTTATCTGGGGGTGGAGAGAGGAGGAGCGAAACGGCATTTTGCCTCGATATGAAAAATTGTATGCAAATTAAAGCGCACTCTTGTTTGACTGCAGTTTACTTGATGAACTTGATAATGAGCTCATCGCGGGACCGGCTTTGCTACTGATTTAAATATTAATTACGATCCTTTTTGATGGGTCTATATAATTATAGTGCCAATAGAGATAAGCTCGGAAATGCTTTTATATATCGCGTAGTAATTTCGAAATAATAAAGTATTTATATGCAGATTTTTTTTTTTTTACGTACGTTTAATGACCATTTGTGCGTATGTGTGCGAGGAGACACTTTGCTCTCTGGGTTGAAGACAGGCGCGAAGTGATTTTCATCACTTTTCGTTGCTCGCGTTATCTCTTTAGCTTTCTTTTGAGAAGTAAACTCCAAGCAAACTATCATTTTGCAAACTATCAACTATTAGTCTGTTCCCAATTCCACTTTCCGAACACGACTAGTTAACCTCCGTGATCCGCCTTAAGTCGAGAGATATTCATGGGTTAACTCGACTCCGTTAACAAGGTAAATTCTCCCCCGACCGCCCTCGGTAGTGATGGTGGTGGTGGTGGTAGTAGTGGTGGTGGTGGACTTCATTGACGTCATTACGATCGAGGTTCGCCAGAATGCTGCGCCCACAGCACGGGATAGTTCGGGCTTACCAATTGTTCTCCCAGGAATGCCGTCAATCTCCATTCGTGGAATTGTTAGCAGACCGCCAGCGAGAAGGGCGAGAATGAGAGAGAGAGAAAGAGAGAGAACGCATCGCGCAATATTCGCGACAACTCTCTCTCCTGCTTTAATGACTTGTCTTTATCCTACCCCCCGGTATAAATGGCACCGGATATTATTTTCGTCGCGGAACTCTCCTCGAAGTGGCGCGATTAATCTTGTAACTTAATGCCGGGTGTAACTTAAGGCCGTGCCGAGTTCCCCAACCCCGCCGTAATCGTGCGATTTCGCGACTTCCGCTTCTTCTCGATTAACTCTGGGGGGATATATATTACTTCTCTTTTTTTCGTGACATTGAGATTATAGAGCTAATCCGAAGGTATAAAGTATGAAATATGAGATAAGTTTTATATCTCGGTTTTTATAAGTCGGTATTGAACTTACCGATGCAACGTATTCAATCTTCTTTTTGTCGAATTAAATATTTTTTCTGACTTAACATTTAAATTAATAATATTGTTATTTATTGTTTTCAATTGCGCGTATTTATTTGCGTACGTACACACAAACGCTTTTTAATATATTTTTTTCTTTAATCTCAGAGTTCGACGATAATTTATTTCAAGAATTGTTCATACGTCACGTGAGACATTTACGTTCGCGTCGGTCGATAGACACGTTATTATCCGTCTGTTCAACCTTAAAGAGGAAACAATGAAAATGAGAACGGTCAAGCTGTCGTCGCAAATGATAAGCAAAGCCGGAACGTCTTTATCGAGGTCGATTTTCCACGCCGATCGATCGCGATACGATGTATTAGCATGAATTAGCACGAGATATCGAGCGCCGATCGATCAAATAACATTGATATTAAACAATTATTGAGTATAACTGCGGAAGAAACGAGGTGAAACGGGAGAAACTATTGTGAGCAAGTAGGTCTGGTCTGTTTCCTCTTCGTAATATCGTATTTTTTCTCGTTATATCTTTTCATTTTCTCGTACTTGATAATTTATGATAGGACTTTAAAATCACAAGAAGTATTATTTGAGTTTTTTTTTTTTTTTGCAAAGATAGTCAATCATGTGAAATTGATCTGTGTGCGCCAAAGCGCATTATATTAAGGAAAGTCTGGCGAGTCATTCATAGTAATTTATTTTAACACTATTCTTTACTTTAAGAAGCCGCTTCATGATCATTTATCTTTCATAATAAACGACTGTTGCTCTTTAATCATTTTGTTTTTCGTACGTGCAACTGAATATGAAGTTAATATTGTCGTGACATTTAAAATAATTTACACATTTATCAATCTTTATCAATCATTCGTAAATCATTTTTTTGTACGACAGATTATTTAATTTTATTTTTTGTACAATATCGATGTCACTCACACATACACACACTTGTTTTTTTTTTTATTTTTTATTTTTTTTTATTTTTTTATTTTTTTTTTATTTCTTAAACGAACCATCCGCTAGCAGTAGCACGTATCGCATATAGCGTTCTGAGAGGAAACTCGGTTTTAGACATGGAATAAATTCCACTCTGTACTCTCCTTCTCTCTCCCTTCTCTCTCTCTCTCTTTCTCTTCCTCTTTCTTTCCTTCTATCTATCTATCTATCTATCTATCTATCTATCTATTTCTATCTATCTATTTATCTATCTTCTATTTATCTATCTATCTATTTCTATCTATTTATCTATCTATCTATTTCTTTCTCTTTCTCTCTCTAGTGAGAGATCTCGTTTATATCTCTCTTCTTGTCTACGAATCTGCTCGTTTCTCTTTCTTGCGCCGGTCGTTACTGACGCGCGGGGCGGTTGGACTGCCGCCAAAATGCCGCCGGTAAAATTAATCGTTCCCTGACACGAATTCCTCTCTAAGTGGGAATACCAATTTGTAGGTGCGAAACAGAGAGAGAAAGAGAAAGAGAAGTGAACGCCTAAGGGGGGTAACGAGGAGGTTACGTCGCGTTGTGTGCTCGGGGTGAAAGCCGGAAGGTGGAGACGAGGCGGAGACGAAGGAGAAACAGGCGGTAGAGCGGTCACTAAACATGTCGTTATATCGAAGCTAACAACCCGGTTTATGCCGGCTCTCTCTACTCGTTCTTGGGTTCTCCCAAGAGAACACCGGTGTGCTACAACGCTCGCTCGCGCGCTGCTTATTGGCTGCTAGCCAAGTACCCCCGAGACTTATCTTCTATCAAGCATTGTTTATGAAAGCAGTGTGACTACAAAGCGGCAGGTAGTCTTTGGAGAGGTCGGTCACGATGCCAAATTGGCGATGTCAAATTAAGTGCAGTCACTGAATTCTCAAACGGACGTCTTATATTGCGACTCACTGTAACTCTTCCGACGCTTTTGTCTGTTTTGATTTTGATTTCTGTGACTTTCGACAGTTTTGAAATTGTCTTTTTTTTTTGGAAGCGAAACATTAAAACACATGAATATTTATTGTTCGCGATGATTTATGTACATCGCAAGATCGTAAGCGCGATTTGTATACCCCGTTATTAAGATGAGGAATTACCGTGTTAGTCAAGTAACAACGGTTGTGTGTCGTCTCCGTCGTCTTCCTTTTCTGAAACAATAATTGTGCCGCTGGAATGCGCAGCATTCTCATCTCGCGCTAGCGGCGGCTAGTAGCGTGTCTATCAACCTAAGAATGTGTGGTGCCGACAAGGCATCTCGGCGTTGTTTTACAAAGAAAACGGAACGGATTGTGCTTGCCTCATCGCATTGGCGTTGCTCCATCTCGTGGCATCTGTTGCGGCACATCTTGCGGCAATCGTCTTTAAAATCTTTATCGAGATCAAAGTAGAGGCAAAGACTGCAGTGACGTGTTTCACCGATGCATTTCTTTCCTCGGGTTATAAAATAAAATCAGAGCAGAGCTGTTTTTCTTGCAGCGAGGAAAAAGTTTCATAAAAATTCTTTAATAAAAACCGTAGAAATACAAAAGTAAAATATAACACGGTATATATCCTATATACATTATTAGATTATTTCCCGAATATATAAGACAGAATTTATAAGCGCGTCTTGTGTGAGAAGGAAAATGTGTCGAAGAAAAAGTCGGGCATATTCGGGACGTACTGTGTGATCAAGCTTAATAAAATCAAATCGCGTAGAACAAACACAGAGTTCGAAATAACAAGACATTCGCCGCGGATAATTGCGAATTGATCGTACGATAGCGATCGAAGTAGCGATTACAATTACTTTACGTGAAAGTAATCACCTGTGTGTTGTGTTGCAGATCGGAAGCAAGTCGATCAGCCGGGGCGCGGTTCAATCGGAGGAGATAGAAGAAAGAACCGCACGTTAGGCTGACACCGATCGGAAAGGAAAATCACCTCGGATATGGCTTAACTTCGCGACGGGTGAGAGGAGAACAGTGCAGGAGTGTTCGCCGCGGGTGAAGTCGTCTCGCTACCATCCTCGGATCTCAGGATTCCCGCGGATGGTCGCCTACGGCGTTGGATGTAATCACGAGTGGTGTCCAGTGGTGTGTTCGTGATATTCACGTCGAAGAGGAAAAAGGAAGAAAGCTGCAGTGGCTGTGATCGGCTGTGGTGTCGTGGATCAGTGTGTTGTCGCGGAGTGAAGAGTGGCGAGAAAGGTATTGTCCATCCAAGATCGTTCGCGCGAGTAAAAAAAATTAGCGACACGGTGCGCGAGTGTTGTTGTGGCGAGGAGGAATTAAAGTGGAATAATAGTAGGTGGTGGTAGTAGATTACGATAACAAAAGAGAGAGAGTGAAAGAAAGAAAGAGAGAGAGAGAGTGAGAGAGAGAGAGAGAGAGAAGCGAATATATCGCAAGATTACGTCGAGCGAGAGAGTAGCCGCGAGAGAGTGAGTGATGTGTTCGATGGACGAGGCGCGTCTCGCGGGCGGTGGTCGGGGTAATGATAACGTCGCGTGTGATCGCGCGCGCTGCCACTGCTACGACGAATTGGGATCAAAAGTGCGAAAAGGCGGGCAGTCGGTGATCAGGCTGGCGGGCGCCAGGGAAACGTTTCCAAGGGCATGGCGACCACGCCACTAGGCGGTCGCCTCCCTAACGTAAACCGCAAAGGACCATCTCCGTGCGTCGGTGGTGGTGGTTCTAGCAGTAGTAGTAGTAGTAGTGGTAGTAATAGCAACGGCGGTGGTAACGGCAACAACGGCAACGTTTGCAGTAACGGTAGCAACAGCAACGGCATCAGCAACAACGGGTTAAGCAATCAGAGTGGTGCTGGTCAATCGAGAAGACAGGAGAGAGCGCTGGTTGGCAGAGAGCACCGCGATCATCGTCACCATCACCATCATCATCACCATCACCATCATCACCACCATCATCATCATCAGGGTCGGGACAAGTCATCCACGCCATCATCGTCGTCGTCGTCGTCGTCATCGTCGTCGTCGTCGTCGTCGAGCCAGCAGCAACAGCGCGAGCCTAATAAAGCAAGCACAGTGGCTGCTAACGCCGGTGAACTGGATCCGGCCGCGACGAATGCGACCAATAACTTCGAGTACGACGACAACGAATGGGACATTGGCATAGGTGACCTGATAATCGATCTTGATGCGGACATTGAGAAGACGAGGGACGAGAAATTGAGCTCGGGGACAGGCATGGCTTCTACGCCTGCCTCGGCAGCATCGGCACCGAATAACGCGAATCATCATCAGTTACAGAACTCAACTAGCGGCCTCAACTCCTCAAACTCCTCGTCCTCGTCCGTCCCGTCGTCTGGCACGAACGCCGGTAGCCAATCGTCGTCGTCTACCTCGTCGTCGTTGTCGTCGTCCTCCTCATCGTCCTCGTCGTCGTCTTCCTCCGGGTGCGGGGTGAACTCGTCCTCAGCGCGCTCCAACAGCCCCGGGAGCGGCAGCGGCGGCGCGAACGGTCCAAATAGCGCGAACGGCGCCGGTAACGCGAACGGCACCGCGAACGTGGTCACCGGTCCCGGTAATAAACAAGCGTCGGGCGTGAACGTGAGCGGCGTAAACGCCGTCCACGGCAGCGCCGGCAATCCCGGCAAGATGGCCGTAGAACACTCGGCCACCGTCGACAAAGGCCTCAAAATGAAGATCAAGCGCACGAAGCCTGGCACCAAGACCAGCGAGGCCAAGCACGAGATTGTCAAATCGAATGAAATCAACGGTACCGCCTCGTCACAGGACTCTAACAACGGTACCGCCGCGTCCGCGACGTCCTCGTCCGCGACAGCCAACGCGGCGTCCGCGTCGGTTGCGGTAGCACAGAACTCACAGAACTCGGAATGTGGTGCGACCGGCGGCGGTCAGTCGTCGTCGTCGAACAAGTCGAAACCGAGCCACTCGCCGGCATCGGCCGGCGGTGCGGGCGCCGCGCCTTCTTCTAACGCGGGTTCGAAACGCGGCTCGAGCGGTCATCGGCGCGACAAAGCGCGCGATAAACACGATAAACCGCAGAGTAATCACACACCTCAGCAAACTAAGCCGGAAATGAACGGCACCGCGCGACCCGCGCCGCAGGGCCAGAACTCGGCCGGCGGCGCGACGCAGTCTCAAGGCCCAACGCCGGCTGCCACGGCGCCGCAACAGACCCAGGGACCACCACCCAGTTCAAGGACAGGTTTTTCAGTGTCACAGGGCCCCGGGCCGCCCGCGACTAGCGCGGCGGCACCGTGTCAGTCCCCGAGTCCAGCGAGCGCCACGGCAGCCGGCGCGCCGGCCAAGCCGGAACAGACCAAGGTTGCCGCGGTACCGGGACCGCCACTCACTACGCCTGCCGAGGAAGCGATGGATACTGCCGCGAGTCCTCCGCCGATGAAAAAGATCAAAACAGAACCAAAGGTATGTTCCGCCAAAGATTTTATCACTCGTTCATTTCTATGCTAATATCGGCTAATTAACGATATCTGAAAATTGTTTTCAAAAATTAATACGTACCTAGTGCTATTGTTTGTAAAAATTTCAGCTGAGTTCTTTTTGATTGTCGCGAAAGATAATTCGTAAAGCTTCGAATAATTTATTATTTTAAAATTTTTATTTCACGTAAGATATTACATGTGTGTTCTGAAAATTAAATTAAATTATTTCTTTACGTAAAGTTGCTTACGCACAAAACACGAAATATACTTTAGTCGGATACAAGTAAGTAGAGGAAACATTATTCCTCTCTCTTTCTCTCACTTATAAAGAATAAAATTCCGACCGGATATGTAACGTTGATTTCCGGCAGCTTGTTAGTCGCCACAAGACTCTTTCTTCGATTGGTATCTTCGCCTCGTCGGCGGCGACGCGTAACGCTCGTACGCGCCTTAACATGTAGGTAACGATACGATGCGGTGTATGAGTGTCAGCGTGAACTCAATTACGTAAGTTTATACGCGTCGTACGCGAACAATCGCGACCGAGAAACAAAACTTAAAAAATGAACAGTAATATTTTTTTTGTTTCAATCGTTGTTTATTAGAATAAAAAGCATTAGAGAAAAAAATTTACTGACGATTTGCCATTATTTTAAAGTGAATAAACAAATACGTGAGATGAGAGATAATATATTGAGACGCGAGAAAAAGAGTTTTCCGTCCAAACAGGAAGAATCGATTTCATCTTGACACATTTTACATATTTGTTTCTCTTTCATTTTACACCGAGGTGGACTATCGCCGTGACGTTGAATAAATAAATCCGCTTCTCGAACACGGACGCGGGAACGTTATTGTAAAATACGACGTTTGGTTTCTATCGCGAGAGATAGAACGGAGAGAGAGAGAGAGAGAGAGCGTTGCAACTCGTTCGGTCGCGCGCGTTGCATAGTATATCTGAAAATAAACGTGAAACGAAAAATATCGTTTCACAGATACGGCGGAGCCGCCGTCATAAATAAATCTCGTGCGCGCGTTTTCTCGATTCGCGACCATCAAAAGTTGTGCATTATTTCCCCTCGAAAAGATCTGTAACGTTATCGCATTTTACGGTCGGCCGAATATGACGAGCAAGGCCGAAGAGACTTTTTGTTCAATAAATTTTTCCCGTCGCGTTGTTCAAACCCGCGAAGATCTAGACTGCTCTTCGACTACACTTCTAACACTGCCTCTACATTATCCTACATGTGTGATCAATCAGAGTAAATAATTTGCGTTTGCTTAAATTGAGAAAAAAAGAACAATCAGAATTTTATGTAGAATTGTTTAATTGATGTGACGTTAAATCTGCAGTACACCGAGATGTATATTATTTGGATTCCCCGAGTGATATATCACTGAAATCGATGCGAACGGAATATATTTTGTTGTATATGTGTGTGTAGTATATACGCGTGGGAGTCGTAAAACCCGCACTTTTTCTCTCGGCGTCTCTCTCGCCTTGGCACACATCGAGTGCTCGTTCGTTGTCGGCGTCGTCGTCGTCGTCGTCGTCGTTTGTACGTGCTCGTTCGCAACCTTGTTCCGCGCGCGCGGTGCAACGCCGGACACGTATTCGCGCGTCAATCAACTCGCTGTACGTGTGTCGCGGGATGCGCGCACGCGACTCGTCTCGGCCGCAATAAAATTGGGAAAAACCCGCGGTACACACCCGAGCGTACACGGCGCGTTAACTGTTTAAAACGTTCCCGAGTAAAATGACGCAGTTCGAAAGTATCTTCTCGCGACATCGCGAAATAAAAAAAAAAAAAAAACCAAGCAATTTACCGCGTCGCAACAAATAGCGTGTATTCGCGAATATAAGTTGCAACTCTTGAAATCTCGATATGGTATAAATATCATATAAATATTTGTTTGTGAGCAAAAAGTCGCAAAGACTCTTGTAAATCAAAAATTCAAACATTATCGGTCGTAAAAATCACGGTCGTTTTTGTTCCAACTATATATTCATAACCGTGTTTGATGCTAATTTTATAACCGGTTAAAAATGTCTTTAAATAGTTTTCTGCTGTGTTTATGCTTCATTTACATGCAAACGACATATTCCACACGAGCTCGATGGGAAGTTTGCAAATTGATTTCACATAAATCAGGAAACTTAAATGTCGCGTCTGTCGTATAAATTGCTGTTAATGTAAATATACACGATAGTTTAAAGAGTCTGCGTTTTCGACAGAACGTGGGAAGTTCGAGACAGAAATTGGCGCGAACTATTTCCGCTCTTCGCGCGATGATTGCAGCGAGTTATTTTCCCTCGTCCGTCACTCGTCGCTATTCGTAGCTCGTGGCAGTCGCTTTGTCGACGATCGTTTTCAAAGCATACAGAGACGCGTCGATACACAGCCGATTGACTCGCGTCATCTATTATTCGGACCCTCGGTTCGGCGAGTGACATCGATACGAGTGTCTCTCAATTGTAACAGCGATGTCATTAGTTTTGCATGCTGCGATTTGCCGCGTTATTATTAATGATAGCGATCGAGAGCGATAATATTTATATAACGGACACGTTATATTCACGTATAAACAAATAATATATGTAATCTCTCTCCCTGTTCCCAATGCCGTTCTCGATTACGCTCCGACGAGACTCATAGAAATTTGCCAAATATTGTTTTCCAAGCAATTTCGCGATCGATACTCGATTTCATTTGTCCTCTCTTCACATTCCCAAATTTCAGCACATTCAACTTTTAATAATGTTTCATTTCCGAAGCTTTTATTTTTCAATCTTTCTCTTTTTAACAATAAATATAAACAACTCTAAATACAAATGTTATCATATGAAAGTGAATTTTTTTCGTAATTATTAAGAAATTAAGAGAATCGCCTGTGTTACGTAACGCTCTTCAATAATTAAAATCTCGAACGATTTTAATCCGCTCGTTTAACTCGGACGTGCGAGTAAGAATTCGCGGATTAACGCGCGCGGATAAGAATCCGCTTGATAAATATTTTTGATCGCGCCCCCGTCGACTCGGAATTGACGCTCATCGATGTCGGAATAGTTGGGGTTGGGGGTGAAAGCCGAGAGACATGGCATGGTGGTCTGAGCAAAGTGGCATCGTCGACTGCTCTATGCACCGAGGGGAATAATCCGTTATATCTCTGGTATTGGACAGCGGTTCTCAAATTTTAGAGTAGAAAGTTGATAGCCATCGCTTTTGTTTCTTTTTAATATTTTCTATTTTCGTTGTCCATGCTTTTTTCGCGATATTTCCATTACTTCATTCGATTTTTTTTTTGAGTTATTTGTTATAAATAAATGTTCAAAAAAATTTTATTTCGCGTTTTTGAAGTATTTCACACAGTATTAAGGGAGATATTGTAGATAGTGTTTTTTCTGTCTCTTCTCTTTTTTTTTCTGTATTGTTTAATTCATGTTGCATTATTCATTCATCGTCTACCTCAGACATAACTGCTTACAAATATCAGACAAACGAGAGTTTTCCAATTAAATGAACCCAACTCACAGACGTCAACTTTCTCTTTGTCTGCCACCAGCCATCATCCCTGTCGTCTACCTACCCCACTGTATCAACATTGCCGCAAAAGCAACAGCGGAATAAACAGATTACATTTTCGCCGGAATACACTCTTTGCCCCTTGAAATTTATTCCGCGATACACACCCATTTCCCGCACGATGTCACCCCTTCAAACCCTTTTTCCACCGTCGTTCCCACCCTCGTGAGAATCGCGACGTCGATGCAAGCTTGCACAGTGCCATCTTCGTGTCTGTGTTTTTCTCTTTTTTCACTCCGCGAATTTCTCCCAAGTCGTTGCTGAGTATCTTCTTTCCGGTGATTTTTTTTTCTCTTTCTCTCTCTCTTTCTTTCTCGTTTACTCTCTAGCTTTCGCGGGGTTGGCTCACCAGGTTGATTCGTCGACGAACGGTCGGGCAAGGTTTCGCTTGTGACTGTCGACGAGTCCCTAGAAGCGCACCGGCGGGATTTGTATCGGTGTTGGTGCACCAGAGCTGGATCTAAGTTTTCTGTCGCCCTCAATAAGCGAATTGTATAAAGAAAGAAAACATGAGAGAGAGAGAAGCTTCGTTCTATTATTGCATTTGATAGTTCGAAAAAATTATAGAAATAAAAGTTACACCTTTTCTATGTTAATTAAATTAAAAATGTAAAGCATTATTTTGTAAATTTAGAATATACTTATTTTTAATGTACAAAATGTAAAAAACGCTATGTAAATATTTAGCAAGAAAACACAGTTGTTTTTTCAGTTACATTATAATTTCACGTAAAAGCTAAATACAATGATGTCGTAAAGAGAGAAAAGAGAAAGAAAGCAATTTCTAAACGTTGAACGTAATAAAATTAAAATCCAAGAGTTTTTCTCTTACTTTTGTTTGTTTTACGGTAGAGAAAAGAATCCACGAATTATTAGAGAAAAATTTATGTTGAGAAGGTAGAAAAGTACGATTTTTATAAAACTTGGTTTTATAAAACACTGAGAAAACATTTCGTTTCTTGTTTTTCCGCTTTTTTTTCAGATAGATATTGCGTATTTATTTTCTACAGACAGCTATTTACGTGGTTGTTAAAAAATTAATTTCACGAAGAGAACGACGATGTAACTGGAATAATTGATGGGATTGTTCCCGTTGCAATGGTTATTTACTCGGAAATATGCGGCTTCAAAGTGGATTCCGCGACTCCTAGACTCGGTCCTGGTCGGTAGCGTCGCCACCACCGGTGGTTCGAGTGAAATTGGGGTGGTTGAATGAGTGAGATTGAGAGAGAGAGCCGCGAAAGCGCGAGAAAGAGACGCGAGGTGGTGAGGGTTGGCGGCTGCTCCTACGACTGTGTGCCGGTGGGGAAATGTTGCAGGAGCGGCAACGGGGGCACAAACGGCCGGGGCACAGAGGGAGTGAGAAGAGAAGGGTGGGAACGACGGAGGGGGGAGGGGT